ACTGAAGCAGAGTGCACCAAACTTAACCACTAGGCCACCAGGGCTGGCCCAGAAACTTAATATTTTTAAGCCTGTGGTCTCCAGTTCTTCTCAGGCTCCACTGTGCTTACTGGTCTTCAACCAGGCCAGTTCAGATCTTTATCCTCTCCCTAGACTGTAAAGCCAGTGGGACAGGGACTGTCTGGTTCACCTTTTTTTTAAAGATTTTATTTTTTCCCCAAAGCCCCCCCAGTAGATAGTTGTATATTTTTAGTTGTGGGTCTTTCTAGTGTGGCATGTGGGACGCCGCCTCAGCATGGCTTGATGAGCGGTGCCATGTCCATGCCCAGGATCCGAACCAATGAAACCCCGGGCTGCCAAAGCAGAGTATGTGAACTTAACCGCTCGGCCACGGGGCCGGCCCCGTCTGGTTCACTTCTTAACTGCTACAGGATGCTACAAATTCCAGCCTTACAGTAATAACTGGCAGTAGCTTTCCAACTTTTTCTCTCAACCCACCATAAAAACACACATACATGCACATGTAACTGGAGAGAACCGTTTCATGAAATGAGACTTTGCCCACAATGACTTTGGATATTTTCTATTCTATGTCATTCTGTTCTTGTAGTAGGTCATAAGCTGCTAAACTGATTTCTTAAGTTTGCTGTTCCAAACACACTACGCCACAGAGTGGAGGCAAGGTCCTCACACCCGGAGTAAGCAGACCCCGTGACGGTGGTCTGTTGGAGCCAAGTGCTGGGGAAACGCAAGAGTTGAGTGAAGAGAAGCTTGTGGGCTGGGCCTCTTCTTACTGTCAAAGTATATGATTCAATCATATCTTTTTTTAATGAAACTTTCATTTACTCAAGAGCGCTAATAACTTTAATCAAAAAGAGAAATCTCATATAAATCATGCAAGAAAAGGGGCCAGCCCCGTAGCCGAGTGGTTAAGTTTGCATGCTCTGCTTTGGTGGCCCAGGGTTTCACCAGTTTGGCTCCTGGGCGCAGACATGGCACCACTCATCAGGCCATGCTGGGGTGGCGTCCCACACAGCACAACCAGAAGGACCCACAACAAAAATATACAACTATGTACTGGGGGGCTTTGGGGAGAAGAAGGAGGAAAAAAATAAATAAAAAAGAGGATTGGCAACAGATGTTAGCTCAGGTGCCAATCTATAAAAAGTTAAAAAAACCTACAACATGACTAACAATAATGTACAACTGAAATTTCACAAGGTTGTAAACTATCATAATCTTAATAAAAAGTTTAAAAAAAAGTTAAAAAATCATGCAAGAAAATAGTAAGTATGTAAATAGGATTCTAATTAATTTGGTATTTGTTTTTCAATACTTTAGAAACTGATTCCAGAGCAAGGCTCCTTTTTACGGTTTTCTAATTAAAGTCGTATTGATTCCAGGCACTTTCTGTGAATTCAATGAAGAGACAAGAAATAGAAATTGACAGTTATGGAGCTGCTGGTAGGTGTCAGATATTTACTACATATGGTCCTACAAATCCTCTTATTCCAGCACCTCTGCTAAGATGGGGTGCTGAGGCTTGGAGGCCAGGGAGCCTGCCCCCGTTTGCTCAGCTAATAAATGAATATGAGCTCTGACATCCACACATGGTTTGTGATCTAAACCCCACACTTTGTCTACCTAATCTGTGTGTGCATTTTCAAACAACAGACTAGGGGCCGGCCCAGTGGCGTACTGGTTAAGTTTGTGTGCTCCACTTGGGCAGCTCAGGGTTCGCAGGTTCAGATCCAGGCATGGAAGTAGCACAGCTGGTCAAGCCACACTGAGGTGGCACCCACATAAAATGGAAGAAGATTGGCCCAGATGTTAGCTCACTGACAATCTTCTTCAAGCAAAAAGAGAAAGATTGGCAACAGATCTTACCTCAGGGCCAATCTTCCTCACAAAAAACTTAAAAAAAATAAAACAGACCTCCAACCAGCTAGTTGAAATCCTACACGTGTGAAACATCTACTATTCCCTTTGTGGAATGGCTCTTTCTAAAAATATTTCATAATCCTTTTTATGCTTCATTTCAGAAAAGTCTCTCTTCTTCAATACCTCATACTGAAATGTGAATACATCTCTGTCTTTAGAATGGCTAATGGAAGAGGCCTTAACTGGTCACACTATCTCCTATTGTGTATTTTGTATGTATTCTTCCTGTACTCCATTATATTTTTTAAGACCTTGATTGACTCTGAAGGACCCCCAAATCTCAGCCAAACTTAAAATTCTTCGTTGCAGACTGTCAACTATCTGGGTATTCAACAATATGGAAACAAAAATCAATGGACTGTTTCTGTCATAATGTAGATATTTGGTATGCCATAATCATGGTCTTCTTTCATCTTCTCTGTGTTGAATTCAACCTGTGACTAGTGCTGCTAAGTCCACTGTCTTGCAGTGTTTAAAAACAAAACAAAACAAAACAAAACCAAAACAGGACTCCCTGACCTTGAGCCACCCTGCCTGGAATGTGCTCAATGGCAAGAGACCAGGGAGCAGCTGACTTTGCGCAGCACTGACTGTGCACTGGGGACCTGCCTGCGCCTCACACACTCTGCCCTTTAACCCTCACAGCCGCGAGGTGAGGGAGGTGCCATCGTCCCCATCGTTCCAGACTGCAGGTGGAGGAGCCTCCCCAGGGCCACGCTTCGAGGAAGGGGTGGAGCCGTCTCTCAGCCAGGCGGCCGGGACAGGAGACTGAGCTCTTCCCACCGTGCACCCCGTGCACAGGAGCAGCACATGGGGAAAACAAACCTCGGGGAAAAAGGCACTGAAGGACGAGTGAGGTCAGTGGAGACCCAGGCTGGCACCAGAAGGCTGCAGGGAAAAGGTGTGGCGAGGCCTTGGAGCAGAGTGGGGCTGACCTGGCCGCGCTGAGGACAGAGGCGTCGGGACAGGGGGGCCGGCGTACTGTGGGGCGACAGCACCCCTAACAGAGCCGTGAGGCTGGCCGTCTCCAGTGGACTCTTCCTACGTCTGCCCCTCGTTTCTTTCTCTCTGGTTTTCCTTAAGAAGAAACCAAGTGCAAACGCCTGCCATAAGATCATATAGCACCCAGATATGCATAAAGCAGAGACTTAAGGCTGACACCACAACTTTAGTTACTGACGGAGGCCTTTCTTCCTCCCTGTGTACTTCAATGGGCCTTACCATTTTACGTCTTTGATAACCTACCTTACCTGAATTTAAGTCAAGCTGTTTGAATTGTGTTAATAGTTATTCCTTATTTTAATTGAATGAGAGGATTTTCCCCTTGGTTCACACCCTGACTATTGAACTCTGGCAGTCTATAACAATACGTGGCAAAGACGTTACAGAACAGGAAGTCCAAACTTATTAATGGGCTGTATTCTAGAACCTCACTGCAAATTAGCTGTTTGGAACCTGGAGTTTATTTTCCCATGGAAATAGTGGTTAAATTCCCAGCGGGCCTGCAAAAGCTTGCTTAAGCAGGAAGGCAGCAGAAATGAACAGTCCCCTTCGTGCTGACCTCTGCCCGTTACTCTGAGGGCTCTATGGATTTCTCTTCTTACTACAATGTTTCAGCTAAGCACCACTTTTGGGACACAGTTTTTTCACTATAAATTATAGAAAAGGTTGAATAAATTATAGAAAAGGCTATCAGTTATAATTCTGCCCAAGTTCGATCTTTAATACTCTTTAGGGTGTTTTCTTTTTACCAGTCATTCCTTGGAGCACGGCCGCAGTTGGAGAGTTGTTTTCCTCAGCCTAAGGTCAGGAGTGGACAGAAGGCCCCGAGGATGCACATGGCCCGGGCTGCAATGTCACACGCTCTGCCTGCACGAAGGGGAGGCGGTGCAGTGGCACAGGGGCGTGTCTTCCCTGCTGCCACCAGTGGCCATCCCATTCCTGGAGGAGCTTTTGGCCCTTGTGGGGATTTACAAAGAAAAGATTTCCCTGGTTTCTGGCTTGGCATCAGATGGTAGTTGGCAGGTCTCAGCGCCCTGGCTCAGGGGGTAGACCTCGGAGACCACCTGAGCACGTGTGCTTTGACTACAGATGAACGTGTATCACAAACTTCATACTCAGAAAGTCTAAAGCTATGATGTGGATGTCTGCCAAACACAGTGCTTGTCTCAGACACATTTTCTTGCAGGGCACAGTAACCACAATAAAACCATAATCTTTGTTTTAGATAGAAACATTACCAACAAATGTTTCCAAAACAAAAATGCTTAAAGTGAAAAAAGTTTTGTCTACAGCCATCAGAATAGTGTGGTTTTGAAGACTTCTCGGCCACGCACAATCCCCACTTCTACCTTTGACCTCTTTGGGAGTCTTCACACCAGCCAGGGATCCTGGGATGATGTCAGAGTCTGTCTTTAGAAATGTTAGAAAAACATTTGTATGATTAGGGAAGGCTTATATCCGCCCCCCACTCCTCCAGAAACCCCGATTAAATTTGTATAACCATGTCCGCTGTCAGTGTCTTTTGACACGTCGTGATTCTGTGAGCAAACATTTCCCAGTAAAGCCATGGCTTTCTTGCTTAAAGACCTCTGATACATTAAAGGTGCATGAGTCTTTCACTTTAAATCCACACAATCTATGAACGAGACCTTTTAAGGATACAGGCGGTATTTTCTTAATAACTTCACTATAGTGTTCACAATAAGGTGGTTAACTTTTACAAAATTAAAATCATTAATACCAAAAAACAGACCAATTAAAGATTCTAATACTAGTAAATATATATATTAAAGCAATCGTTTCCTATTTCAATTAGAGGCCAAAAAAGCTACTTGTGAAATTAAGGCCTAATAACAGAGTAAATAAAGACACCACCGCTTCCAGTCACACAGGTGAACTCTGGCACTCACGGCTGCAGGTCACTGTCACCCGCTGACTAGATCTTTAAAAAAACAGCCTAATTTTACAACCATAGGTAATATTTCTAATTGTGCTAGTGCTTTACAACATGTACTGTTAATTTTCAGGATCAGGAAGGAAATCTCTCTTAATCACAGTGCATTTCAATTGACAAATATATTTATATTTTTGCATTCCTCAAAACACTGGACAGGCTTAGGCACAAGGCTTCAGGAAGGTGAAATAAGCCACTGGGTGCACTAATGAATGCAGAAGGCTCCAACTGCTGGCTGCTCCAAGCGTGTTTTTGGCAGAGTGCACGGCAGGAACTCAGCTTTCCAGACAGAGAGGACAGAGCTGTGGAAGCACCTTGGAAACGCTGGGCAGGAGGAAAACGTAGAATCCTATCGGAAACTTAGGGCCAAGAAGGTCTACACCTCCTGAAAGTGAAATGTTGTCCCAGCTGTATCTAGAAGAAGGAAGAGGAGAGAAAGGGAAGCAAAGTAACACATTTGGAGCTCTTGGGGGAATTAAATGGCAGCACATACTTAAGTGCCAGCAAGGAACCAAGATGCATCAGGTGCTCAAAATGTGAGCCAGATTTGAGGACTGGGACATTTACTGGGCAAAAATAGGGCTATTTAAGGCTAATTATGTCATTTTTGTTAGCACCTGCACCTTCTAGGAATTGAGACACAGCACCTGAAATAAGCTCAATTATCAACTGAAATAAACACTGACCAAATTCACCAATACTGCAGATATGGTGGGATTTCTTTCTTGGCTGGGCTGTAATTCCCCAAGTCTGGGCTATTTAGCACAGCTGGTGGATACACACGGTGGATTACAGCCATGTACAAGTCAAGCTTTATAAAGAGAAAGACATTGAAATGCTAAGATTACGCACCATATCCCCTTCCCCAGATAGACATTATGCAAATAAGTTTGCTGGTCACAAGAGGGCCTGAATAAAAGGCTGCAGTCAGCTTCAAACAAACACATCTCAATTTCTTGAAAAATTCAAAGCGTATCTATAACGTCATGTCATATATAAGGAACAACAAGTTGTTCGAAAACACTTCTGCTAAGTCCACTAGAGCTCTACGTTAAGGGAAGTTATTTCCCTGTCATGACCAATGTGTTTGATCTTCAAATGTTAAAAAAAAAAAGTGTAAATAGAACATACTTTCAACAAGTGAGGTTTCCAAGATGGTAAGAATCAGTTAGTTTTACTTTAATTACTTTTAGATTTTTCTACTAAGAAGAAAAAGAAACACACAAAAGAAAACCTAGACTATTCAGATACTGTATTCAAATTTAGATGATAAAGATGGGGGTCAGCATGAAAACAATAAATATCTGATGCATGCATTATGTGAACTGACTTTAACATTATGGGAATTTCTAAATTTGGAAGCTCAAAAAATAAACATTTTTAAGTGGAGTCATCAATGATTTCTAAATGCTTTGTAATAAATTTTAAATTAGAGAAATTAAATATTCTACTGATCAAAGAACTAATATTAAAAATTCATTCCCAGCAGGTTAGCCAACATGTGTCGGAAAAATAACTTTTAGTACAAGATTCAAGTCATCCTTCCCTGTAGACCATACAAAAAGATCCTCTGGTTATTTTCTCCCATTCTCGTCCATCACAAAAATAGAAACACATCTGCAAGTTATCCTCTGCGAATGAGAGTCCTGTGGGAATTGTTCCCAGTGGGCACACCTTCTGTCTCTCACCTCCCTGCTACCTCAGCATTGCGTAACTTTGAGCCCATTGATCTACTGAGCTGTGCTCATTAAAAAAAGTAGATTCAGGACATCCACTGCAATCTATTAAAAGTCACTTACACAGGCTGGCAGCACCCTGGAAGTTCTGAACTAACAACATTGCAACTCTAACAAAAACAGACACGTTTCTCAATTCTGTGACACAGAGTGGACAGCAACACGTGTGATGCAGCAGCAAAGACCTGAACCTTAGAGAATCCAAATAAATCAAAAATTCAGTGTCTGGATAGAATTCTTAACAAGCAACTTTACTTAAAGAAAACCCTGAGCTGTCTTTTAAAATCTCTTCCCGGCTGACAGTAACCCTTCCTCCTGGGCAGAGGATAACGGAATCAGGATGACTTCCAGAAACGCGGCCAGTCATCCTGAAGTTGTAGCAGCCCCAGGGATGCGCGCCTTCCTCTGCTCCGCGGACACACAGCTGTCCGCCTCCCCGGACGGTCCACGGGCATCGCTCTCGCGCCGGGACCAAAGGACACACAGCCGTCCCTCCGCAGCTGCCCGGCAGCGGGCTCGGCTCCGAGGGGGGCACATGCACATCTTTATAAACAGCACGCACAAACCTGGGAATGCCTCTCCGTGCAAAAGCATACACAGACCAACATCGAGGCGGACTCTCCTGAAGTCCACACCGATAAACTGACCACCAGACGCAGAACTTGGCTCTGGAACGGAGAAAACTCATCATTCCCCCCAAAAGAAGAGTCAAGTACCCCTGTCCCCACCGTGGAAAAAGATGGAAAGCAGACGCCCGTCATCAGCGGAAAGCCCGCGCCCCGCCAGGACCCGGCGCCCTCGGGGATGCTGAGGCGCCCGCCCGGCCCGCCCGGCCCGCCTGGACCGCCCGCCCGGCCCGCCCGGCCCCCCTGCCCGCTCCAAGATGGTAGGAAAGTTGTCGTTTCGGAGGGCAGCGGAGGCTCTGCTGCTATGTCCCCGCGGTGCCGGTAGTGGTGCTGTAGGAGGCTGCCGCCTCTCCGCGGCGCCCGCAGCCCTGCCTTCTTGGCTGGAGAGTGTATTCAGGGATTTCCCCTCAATAAGCACCGACCCCGGGAGCACCGTGGAGTTTCCAAAATAAAAACATGGTCCTCGCCCCCCGCGCCTGAGCGGCCAGCGCGCTCGCCGGGGCCGGGGCCGCGGCGGCCGAGCCCAGCCCGCGCCAGCCTCGCGCCGCCCTGTCCGCGCGGCCGCGAACGGGAAGGAGGAGAGGCGGCGGCGAGGTAAGCGGACGCGGCCCAGGCCCGGCCCACATCCCCGGGCTCCCGTAGGGCGGCGGGCTGGGCCGCGCGGGCAGGGCGGCCGGCGAGCGCGCTCACGGGAGGCCGGGGCTTCGCCGGCCCGCGCCGGCCCCGGGCGCAGGATGGAAGGGTGAGGGGCCGGCGCGGGCCGGGCCGGGCCGGGGGCGCGGGGGGCGGCGGGCGGCGGCGGCGGCGGCGGCGGGCGGGGCGGCGGCGCGGCCTGCGCGGCGGCCGGGTGCGGGCGGCGGGGCTGGCTAGGCCTCGGCCGGGCCCGCGGCGGCCGCGCCCTCGCTTCCCGGCCTCCGCGCCCCCGGGCCGGGCCTCGGGCGGGACGGCGGCGCCGCGGGCCGGGCGGGCGCGGGGCCTGGGCGCGGGGGCGCGGGGGGCGGCCCGCTCGGGGCTGCGGCGCCCCCGGCCCGCGACGTGGGGCGTCCCCTCCCGCGGGGTCCGGCCGGGGCGGGGCGGGGCGGGCGGCCGGCCGGCGGGGGCGCGGGGGCGGCGAGAGGCAGGTGCAGCGGCGGCCGGAAAGTTTCCGCCCGGGCCCGCGCGGGCCGCGCTCCTGGGGCCTGGGCCCGGCCGCCCCTGCGCCCGCCCGGCAGGTACGGCCCGCGCGCCCGGCGCCGGGAAAAGTTTGCGGGGCCCGCGCCCCTCCTGCAGACGCCCGCGGCGGCCGGTGCCGAGACGGCCGGTGCCGAGGCGGCGCGCGGGGCGCCGGGCCGCGTCTCCGTGAGGCGGCGGCGGGGCGCGCGGACGCGGGGCCTGGGCGAGCCGGGCCGGCGGGGCGGGGCGGGTGTGCTTGCTTTTTCCCTCCTGTGTTTAGACAGATTCGATTTGAGCTGTATTTTGGTGCCGTGAGTTGTGAAAGTTAAAAGAAAAGAAAAAAAATTGTGGAGAACTTAGACTCGCAGCGGCGGCTCCCGGGTCGGGGACGCCGGCGGCGCCCTCCCTGGCGCGGGGAGGGAGGTGAGAGGGCAGAGGGGAGAGGTCAGCGCCCGCCCCGCCCCGCGGCGGCCGCGCTTCCCCTGCGCGGGTCCCGGCCGGGCGGCGCGTCCGGGGAGGCGGGCGGGTCCTCTCCCTGGTCCGCCGGGAGCGGGTCGCCCGGCGCGCGTCCGCGTCCCGCTGCGGGGCCGCCGGGGTGGAGGGGCGGGCCGGTCCGCGGCTGTCGCCCGCTCGGGTCCCGGGCCGGGGGGCGGGCTCGGCGCACCTGCGCCCCGCGTCGTGCGCGTGCTGGCCCGCGCTTACCTGGGCGCGCGTCTCTGTGCTTACAACATTTTAACCTTTAAGAAATCCCTTGGCCTCATATTTGATGTTAAGGTGCATCCTGACGTCACCTTGCCCGGCCTGCGAACCCGGGTGTGTGCAGAGCCCGGAAGTTTGTGCTGCTTTCCGCCCCGTCCCAGACACGTGTTAATCTGCCAACCCGATCGCTTCACGGGCTCCTTTATTCTTGAAGGCATGGGTTGGATCTCAGAAAAAGTTACCCTTCGTTGGAAACGAATAGATTTAAATATTGAGTTAATTTTAAATTACTAAGGTAAAGGCACTTTTTCATTCTTAAATATTGTTTCCAAAGTAGATGTTTATTTTAATGGATGTCGCAATAATCAGACTGTCTTTCCTCTGCGAGATTGTTTGGGGACGCGTGTATCCTCCACCCCGACTGATGTGCTCAGCAAGTCGTGTTACTACTATTTTTAGAGAATTGAAATTTCAGTTTAGATGGGTTTAAAAAGTCCTCTAGGAGTCAGAGCACCCACAGTTAAACCTGTCATTTCGGCAGTGCCGTCCGTGCGTCCCTCCCTGAGCGCCCCCAGGCTGCCCGCTCTCCGCGTCGGGGTCTGGACGGCAGCGAGAGGCCGCGTGGATGGGCGCAGTCAGCGTCCTCCGGCCCGGCCCGCCTGGCACCTGTGGGCCAACCCCGGCGGGAGGGAGGGAGGCCCGAGGCGGCGTCACAGCCAAGGCCGTTCAGCCCGTGCTGGTCAGGCTGCGCTTGGAGAGGCGAGCAGCAGTGGGGTCTCCTTCCCATGCCGGCAGGTGCGCGTCTGCCCCGGAGCCCGGCGGGGGGGATGCTTCCGGCCCTTGGAGACCCTGGAGAGACGCCCCTGGCCAGCTCTTCCAGTGGAGCCTTCCGCCCCTCTCAGTTCCCGCCTCGCGCCCGAGGGGCCGGGCCGCTTGGCTCTGATTCTGTCCCAGCGTGGAATTGGTTTTCTAAGACGGCTTCTCGGTGAAGTGTTATCTGGACGTGGTGTCCTGCAGTCACATGCATTTGGACAGGGTTTTGGGTTCTGATTCCGGCTCTTCCACTGGGTGGGTGACTTCTTTGGTTTCTTTTTTGGAAAATGGAAATGCCGTTTTTTGATGTACGGGTCAGATGGGATGGCCCCTGCGCCTGGCTCTCAGCGGGTGCTCATTAAATGCTAATCCCCAGCACACCTTCCATTTCTGTTAGCGCCATCTAAGTAACATTTCTCTTAATTTGTTTGCTTTTTTTCGGACTAAAAGCAGTACATGCTCATATTCATCCCACTCAGACCTATTTGTCCCACTCAGGAGATAACCATCGTCAAGATTTTCTTAGGTTTTCTTTCTTAGTTTGTGTGATTGCGCATGCGTACAACAGAAACATCGGCTTGAGATCCTCCACTTAGCAGTGTGTGTGTGCCGGGTAAAGCCTGGCCTGAGTCACACTGGCCTTTAATCCCATCTGTGTGACTTGGACAGATGACTTCATCTCCTCAGGTCTCAGTTTCTTCGTCTGCAGAGTGGAGTGACAATACCTTCTCCGCAGGGCTGCTGTGGGAATTCAGTGAGGACTTGCACACGAAGCCTTAGGATGGTGCCTGGTGCGTGACCTTACATAATATTTTCCTCTAAAGATTGTTAATATTCTGGAATTTTTTCAATGTGAATGAGTTCTTGACTCTATTAATAATACTAAGTATTTGAGTATAGATGGAATGTTATAATTACCTTTGTGGGGCAAGTAAATATTTCTGTGCCATTAAAAAGTTAGCAGTATATTTGTAGAAAGTTTCCGCAGCTTTATGTTAATCTGGTCTCTGCTGTTGAATTCTGTGAGTTGGCAAATGTAAAGGTGGGGCAGGGGGACAAAGAAAGTGCGTTTACTTAACTTCACTCCTTTTATTATTTTTATTTTTGGTGAGGAAGATTGGCCCTGAGCTAACATCCGTGCCAATCCTCCTCCATTTTATGTGGGACACTGCCACAGCATGGCTGGATGAGTGGTGCTATGTCTGCACCTGGGATCTGAACCTGCAACGACTCCCTCCCCCCAACCTCGCACTGGGCTGATTGCCCTTCCTCCCTCCTCTTTTTAAACTCTTGAAGTTACCTGCCTGCATCCTTTGTGTGTGTGTCACAAGGCCCTGCCTGGTCTGTGGCTTTGGTGGGCTCACCTTGGGAGGGTGGGATGTTTGCCTGAGGCGATGGTCGGAGCTGCTGAAGCCAGTGCCGTTTGGTGCAGTTAACTGTGGGCCTGGTAATACAAAGACACATTGTCTGCCCTTGAGGAGTTTTTAGTCTAGTGGGGGAGAAGAAAGCTGACAATTACGCCATTGAATGAGAAGGGCTAGATTCGCCTGGAGGAAGAAAACCTATTTATCCTGGCCTAGGGGCAAGCCTTGGAGTGAGGACTTTCCAGTGGGGGTTTATGCCCTGAGCACATGGGAGCACATTAGGAAGGCATTCCAGGAGGTGGCCCTGCAAGAATGAATAAATGCCTAAGGACAAAAGAGTATTCTGTGTTGCAAATGGTAGGAGTTGTGGGGATAGGAATAGATAGTGGGAGAAGCAGAGGTCAGCCTGGCCGGGTCCTAAGGAGTTTATGCATTAGGCTAAGGAACTTGGTTTCTTTTTACTTTTATAAGCTGACCCTGAAGGCCTTTGGCCAAATAAATTGTTTGCTGTTTTAGACGATTTGAGTTGCACAAAGAGTGGAATAAAGGAGGGCGAGACTGGAATTAGACCAGACAGCTGCTGAGAAGAGATGGAAGGTGTGAACTAAGTGGAGGCAGTGGAGATGCAGCAGTGAGTGGAGAGGCTGATCTGGAGGTAAAGTGGTCTGCACAGGCTGCCCGGAGGCAGCCTTGGGGAGCATCCTCATAGAGACGGGCAGCCCAGCTTGTGGAAGTAGAAAAATTTGGTTTAGTCAGTGATTCTTGTTTTTTTCTGACAGTTGATGATCTTTATGGACCCCTCTCCAGAAAAATGCATTTTTATACATTCCCAGTTTTGTACGTTTGGTTTGAAACCTGGGGTAATAACCTCTAGGCTTGGGGTAGATGTGGAGCAGGAGTTGAAATGAAAGGCTGTAGGAATGTCTGGTCTGACTCACACTTTTTGTGTCGGTGTGTGACCGTACCACTGCCATTCTATAGATGAGGAAGCAGATTCATAAAGTAACTTGCTCAGGGCCACACATCTTGTATTTTAACGTTTGAATGAGCTGCTGACAAAAACATTAGGAGATTTTGTGGGAAAATTTAGATTTTCATCTTCTTTTGAAAAGCTGGAAGATCTGGAAATCCAGGGTCCAAATTTTTTACATCACGACAACTTGGAGGAACTGGTTTAGGTCAGCTGCCTTTAGATGAGCACAGTTTGCCAGTCTGCCCGTGGCTGGAGTGGGTGTTTCATCTCGCGTCCCTGTAGAATAGGAGTGAGAGAATCTTGGGCAACACACACATTTAAGTTTGGGGCTGAGGAGAAGCCGCTGACTGAGCAGCCGGAGAGATTTTCAATGACGGGAAAGTGGTCATCAGTGTCAAGTGCTGCAGAGAGGTCAAATAAGATAAGGAGGGAAAAGTGTGTGTGGAATTTAGCAACAAAGAGGCCACTAGTTTCAGATTCTTAGAACAGAAGAACTTGGAGGACTATAGCTACAACTTAGTGTTTCTTCTTTCTTCTTACCCTTCAGTGTGGGGCTTCTGTAACATTGGGAGAGACTGGCATGGGTAGGGACGCAGAGAGCACTTGTTGTAAAGGATTACTAATTGGAGCTGATACATGCTGTAACCAAACACTGCTCATCCTGCTAGTATTTTCCATCACAAGAACATCAGTATGTTGATGCTCTATAAAATGTAGAAAGTATTTTTATTAGATTTTTAATATGCATTCTAGGAAAGAATTCTCAGTGGATTCTGTTAGCCCAGCCCCCAGACGGTGGGAGGGGCTGACTTAATGGGGAAATACACTGGGCCTTTCAGAAAACCTCTAGTAGCTGGAGAGTGCATTTTAGCCCCACAGATTCTAGATTAAAATGATAATACTAATAAACTACTACTTACTGCTTCTAATAGTAGTTAACATTAATGATTACTATGTGCTGGGTACCATGCTAAGCACAGTTCATGAAATACCTAATTTAATTCTCCTAAACGACTCAGTGAGGTATATACTATTATAATCCTCTCTTTACATATGAGAAAACGGAAACTTGCATAACTTGCCCAAGGTCACACCCTAGTAATTAGCAGAACAGATCTGAACACCATCTCCCACACCCCACCCTAGGATCTCACATCAGGGGAGGAGCTCAGCCCGCCCCAAGGCCACTTTAAGTTAAATTCATAATACAAACTTACTAGTACAATGCTGTTTGAGCAGTGTTTGGAACATAATAGACATTTGGATAAGCATTTATTTGACTTGTTTTTAAATATTCTAGTTTGAACTTTAATTATGCAGAATATTATTTATATTTTTGAGTCACAGGCAATTTTTGTCACTGATATTTCTCTTTGAATCACATCAATTGATAGATTTTCATAATTTCTGAGTCTAATTTTACTGCTTTTCACATTGATATGTAGGGTGTTGGTTTTTGTGTTTTTTAAAATCAATATACTCGTCTGTTTAGGATCTTATTACATTTCTGTGCTCCATGAAGTTGAATTAAACTCATTTCAAGGAAAGCTTAAAATGAGGGGGAAAGATTTTTAAGACTTTAAAGTATATGCCTTTGGGATAAGTAAATTTTCATTTATATTAAATGTATTAGAAAACTAACATTCTGAGAATTTAGGTTTGTGCTGGATTAAACAAATTGTAAGGAATGCTGTAGGTCTAAACTCTTACAAGGGCGTAGAATATCAAACGAGAGCTGGCCATTAGGGTAAGGTGTTGTGGCCGCGAAATGAGCAGCGAACTAAGTGAAACCCGAGACTCAAAGGAACAGTCCTGACACGCGGGCTCCACGTGGAGGTGGCACCGCACGTCCCGGAGAGAATACCGGTCCTGTTTCTGTCAGATTGGTTTATGGTTGCTGTTGGAAGACTGAAAGGGCCTTAGGTTGCTTCTGTTCAAAGCTTATCTTCCTTCCCTTTCTCCCTGCGAATGTCTTAATTCTTCTTTATTTGCAAGAAGAAACTAAGTATGGAAAGGAATTGTTTCATTTTCCAATTAAACCCAACATATAATATCAAGGAGGATTTTTTTCTTTTTAAGGATTTTATACCTAACCATATTTCCTACTCTTGAATTCCAGTCTGTGGATATGTCCTTTCTGTGGAAATATTTTTTCTGTGAGACTCTTCTCAGTAGTGGTTATTTTCGCTTTTTGGTGATAATTAGATTAGGGCTCTGAAGGGCTTCCTGGCCTGCGTCCCCTTCTTGAAGGGGGCACAGATGGGTTATAGTCCAAGCGAGTGACCTCCTCAGCTGGAGACAGTATCTGCTGTAGCTGTTAATAAACTTAGTCTGGTTAGGATTTTCTTCTTCTTCTTCAAGTGATGTCCATCATGTGTTAAAAGGCGGAGCTTAGATGTGGCTTTTCCTCATGGATTGGACAGCCAGGCAGCATTCAAGTAGCAGGGTCCACAAGACCTTCGAGTAAGAGCCCGCGGACTTTGTCTTTATATATCGTATGTTTCCTGTCTTCTTTACTCGTCCAGCACACGTCAGAGAGTGAAGGCTGTGAACTTCACCTTTGGTGGAGCGGGGAGAACGACTTCAGTCGTGGGAAGCGAGAAGTAAAGAATGAAAAAAATAGAGGTTTTTGGTTTTTTTTTTTCCTGAGATATGCCTTAGTACTTTTGTCATGATTTCTTTAATTAAAAAGGAGAAAACCTATTAATGTAGAGAAGACCAGATGAATAGTTCCAGTTTTCAGACAGTGATTTTGATATTAGTCATTTAGAAGGAAGTTAGACTTCAAAGCAGAGGGCCCTTTTGCCCCCACCTTCTTTCCTTTTATGATATGTGAAGTGAGTCTGGATGCATCAGGGAATTGAAAATGGAGTATAAAGGTTAAATTGAGCCTTTAAAAGAGGGCCTTGAAAATGGAGAACAGTTGAATATTCGAAGGGAAGATGCAAAGAAGGATATAAAGTTGGCTGTTAGTAGGACTTTAAAACATTAAAAATCAAAGAAATGGGAAGAAAAGATTAATCATAGGTATTTGTAAAAAAATTAAAGTTGAAGAGAAGTTGTTTATAAGATGTTGAAATTAAACCCCTGTTTGTAGGGCGTCGAGGTGATCAGCGAGAGGCTGGCGCCTGTGGCAAATGCCGAGCGGGGCAGTTGGGTCGATTAGTGGATTCTTAGATTTGAGGGAAGTTGAATAGGCAGATTTTAATTTGCTTTTTTTTTTTTAAAAAAAAGTGAGCTTTACTTAATGATATTTAATATTAATCACAATAAATTACTATTTATTACTTAATAATGAATAATTAGCATTATTTTCTAAATAGACATTGGGTAGCAAATTATATGACATCTGTTTGAGGAAATGTGTGATGTTACTTCATGGAATATTCAAAAACTTTAAAGCTTCTAAATTTTACTTTGTCTTGGTATATGACTATGGGGATTAGAAATTATT